AAAAATTTATAATTCAGTAAATTTCTTAATTAAAAATTTTTGTAAAAAACAATCAAAACTGAAGAACAAATCTGTGCTCGATCAAAAAAATTATGATATACGTATATAATCTCGTAAATTTTATTAAGCTTGATCGGTTTTTTTTTTTAAAGTATTTTCTTCCTGAATACAAATTTGAATAATCAAATGAATTTACATATTTTTGGATAATCGAAATTAACTTAAAAAATGACGGTAACATAAAAATATTAAATTCATCAAAATATTTCATTAAGATTATCTTGTAAAAAAGTATTACAATCTCATTGTTAATCAAATGATTTATCTAAATGTTAAATTTTCGATAAACAAATAACTAACTGATTATAGCATTGTATAATTTATTAGCTATGTTTATGAAGTTGCAGCTTGAAACTCACATGACGAACAATCATGAATTTTAATATTATCAACTAATCTTATCATCTTATCAGCAATTATATTTTATTATATTTAAAACAGATGTTGAAGATATTATTTATTTCAATCTTTGTTGCATAATTTGCTGTAAAAGCCGAACGCACTCATTTACAGGTGAGGCTTTTTGAGGTTCAGTCAATATCTGTGTCATCATCACTGTGTTTATCATTTCGTTTCACCTGTAATAAGAAACCATTGTGTTTACCTTTCTGTACAATCAACGATCAACTTCTAACTTCTTATCACCATGGCTAATAGAAGAAGCAATAACTTCAATCGTTAACAACCAACAAGAAAATCATTTCATATATTAACATCAATTTATCATAAAAAAAACCCTAACTTTTACAAAAAAATAATTCCTGTAAAGCCAACCTTAAATATTAAAATTCTCTTCAACATATATATTTTTTGATGACTAAAAAGAGAAGAATTCTTTGCTTATTCTATCAAATTTTTATCATTTTTCATAATTTCCAGCGTTGATTTTATCATTATTTATCACTCCGACAAAATCATATTTCAATAGGAATTTATTTTGTTTCGAATTCTCGAAGAATTATGCATAAGTGGTAATTTTTCGGAGAGAACTAAAATTCATATTGTGGAGAGAATGGACGATGGTTGAGAAGGGGAAAGGAGAGCTGTCGTGAAATGCTAAAATGATGCTAATTGAGTTCCGAACCCATTCACGCATCCCAATGGAATTCCATCAGCTAATGCGATAAGTGCCACCATTTTCCAGTAATGCTAAGTCGGGTCGATCGACATTTCAAACTTTCTTATCATACCAAAATAATAATCTATTCGTAAAATAAATTCTAATATTTGCTTTTAAAAAAATTCTTTTTTTCTATTTTCTTTTTAAAAGAATTTTTTAAATAATAAACAAATTCCTTTGCAGTAGTAAAAGTTAGGAAAATTTTGCTTATAAAATAATTAAACTAAAAGCAAAATTGAAATTAATTACTATTAACTGCTCGTTTTTTTTTTACATTTACTGCATACATACTAATGGCTTTATTCAAAACTAAAATTCAATTTTCAATTTGCTGCCAAAGCATATTTTCAAAAAAAAAAATCATACCATTTATATAATTCAATTTAATCGTTAGAAAATTAATTTTTTAAATATTTTTACGCACACACTTATAGTCTATTGAGAAACTAATAAACATAATGTTATAGGAAAAAAATTTTTTTGATTTATCGATTTTTGCAAATTATCTTCATATATGATACTGTTAATTCCCTTTTTCATCAAAATATTATCGAATAATCAAAAAATTTTATTTTTTAAATCAAATTTTATTCCATATCAAATTGAGTAATTTTTCATTTCAAAAAGCACAAAAGAATTTATTCATTTTAAAATGTAGTAACTAAACAATACAGTTATATCATTTATTGATTGCATTAGATTTTAATTTTGCTGATCATTTATAACTTCATATTAACATCAATTTGAATTTAAAAATTGTTTTGAAAAACAGAAATATTTGTGAAATCGATTTAATGCAATTGTTGCCTTTCACATTCTCATCTCGCAAATTAACCAGCAACTCGGAACTTCTTTTACCTCAATCTTAGCCTTTTTAAAATTAGAATTTTTCAAAATTTTACTCAAAATGCGCTAAATTAGCGAATTTTCCCTTTTGCTGATTGAATTGATTGATTGGAAAAAAACGGAACAATTGAGGTGGACGGAGAAGGTTAAGAGGTCAGGGAGGGCGGAGAGCGGATATCGGATGACGGGTGACGTTTGATGGGAGTTGAAAAATGGAGAATGAACAAACGAACGAACACGATAGGATGGCGCTGATGCACTTATATGCTACGATTACGGTAACTTCATTTTCTCCTCATTGCTAAAAAAATTCAATTCAAAAAACAACAGAGAAAGCGTACAAAGTTGAAAGATAGAGAGAGAGGGAAAGAGAGAAAATATATATTAATATGATAAAACGGCAATTTCGGGCAATTTTTAATAAGTAAGAAATTTGAATATTATAAACTGGAATAGTTCAAAAGAGCTAAATTTGTTGGATAAATATTTTATTCGATAAATTTTATCTGCACCGATGAAATTTCCATCTGACAGTATTAATCGTTAAA